AATATAGTTTAGATAGGAGGACATCATGAGGAACTGAATCAGAGGCTTTGCATAAGTCAAGATAGGCCACATCAGTAGCTATAGTTTAGCCTCCAGATTGGGAGTAATTTGATGTACCATCACTAGCAGCTGCTGCTGTGAAGACTTCCCCTTTACAAAGCCAAACTGTGACGTAGTAATGAGAGGCACAATAAAAGTAGTGATATGATCAAATACCAGTCTTTCTAACACTTTGGAAACAGAGCATAGTAACGTTATGGGTCTACAGTTCTTTACATCTGACCTTTCCCCTGACTCACTGGAGGGAGTTATCAGGTGCACCTTCCACTCTTGAGGCAACACACCATGCATCAATGATTGACAGAACAAATGGTGTGGTAGAAAGATGGCAGAGGCACAGTGCTTTAATATCACTGGACCTATCTGATCAATTCCCATAGACTTCGGTGTTTTGAGTTGGGTTAGAGTCTTATACACATCAGCTGGTAGTATGTTAACACATCCAATACAAACTTCTGGAGGGGACCTAATTTGAGATTGATTGGTCATTGCATGACTGGAGAGCACAGAGAAGAACTGGTTAAATAGGTTGGCTTTAATGGAATCATCCAAAGCAGTGACTGAATCCATTGACATAACTGATGGCAGTTGGCGAGAGGAGGAGCAGGAATTACGATACCTAGTGATGTTCCCAATGTCGTTAGGAGAAGAATTAGATACTAGGTTGGTCTGATGTAACAGCTTGGCCTCCAGGATGTGGTTGAGCAGCTTATGTTCTAGATCCAATATCTTTCTCTTGGATAATAGAGTCGGTGAACGACGGTGTTTCCTCCTCAAGGTGTTAAGACAATTGATCCTGCCTCGTGTCACAGGTAAACCAACTAGGTTGAGTGTGGGAACAAATTTTAGTTGTTGGAGTGAAGAGAAAAATCCCTTAATATATGGCCGACCGAATAAGTGACCAGATTCTCTCAACATCAGAGGAGCTGTAACAATCAGAGAAGTCGTAAGACTCTAAGAAGCTACACATTCCATCAAAATCACTTTTAGCGTAGTTAAGGACAGTGCGAGTAGACTTTTTAGTGAATTGGTTGGGAAGTGACAAGGTCATCTTCAAAAGAAAATGATCTGAGTACAAATATCTATCAGTGAAAACTGTAAGTGTGTCAATTATTTGAAGAGAGTTAGTGATAAATAGATCTAGTATACCTCCCCTGTTGTGTGTGGGGACCTTGACTACTTGGGATAGATTATGCCGAAATATAAAGTCACACAGCTGAGAGGGTAGATCTGTTGTACCCGATAATGTAGGCCAATCTATTTCTGGGAAGTTGAAGTCTCCCATTTTGAGGACAGAATTAAAAGAAGAGAGAAGGAAAGTAAGATGATTTAGGACTGAAGTTAGGTAATGGGAGTCGGAGGAAGGAGGGATGTAAACTGCACATACACACAGTGATGAGTGGGACTCAATAAGCAATGACAGAATTTCAAGCATGGGAGGGGATAATATAACAGACACAGGAAACATCTGATGTACAGCTAATAATACACCTCTGCCTTGTGAGACTCAATCTTTACGAAATACAGAGTAATTAGTTGGTAAAATTTTACTATCAACTATTGAGTCTGATAACCATGTTTCAGTTACTGAGAAGATATCTGGACATAGCGTGTAGGCCATTGACTGAAAGGTGCCCAACTTGTTCACAAGACTCCTTGCATTCCATAGATAGGCTACTAGTCAACCCTGATGTGTAAGGGAGCATCTCTTCTGTAAAACTACCTGCTCGAGGCCTCTTTCTTCCCAGGATAAGTCCTTTTTGACATAGATAGGTGAATTATTAGGCCCATAAAGAGTTGTCCGGCATGCCAAAATAGTCTGGACATCTTGAAAACTGTTGAATTTAACTAGCAGGGGACGACTTTTACCAGTGTCACGGTTGTATTTACCTACTCTTAAACAGTCTCTGATAGATATGTCGGATAGAGACGAGTCAGAGGATTCAAGAACAGAGAATATGGCTTCATGGTCTAACCGCAGTCTTTCATGATACGATGTCCCATGTGGATTTTCAGGCAGACCAAGGAAGAGAAGATTAAACTTCTTTTGGTGCAGAGGAGCATCATGAGAAATTTGAGGAACTCCTCCCATACCCAGACTATTGTCCCTTTGCTGATTAGTTACTGCAGGGCTTACACTATCAGAAGTCTAAGAGGAAAATGAAAAATCAGTGAACCAGCCGTTTTGTTCAGCCTATTTCTTTTCATCTTCATCATCATCAAGTCCTATCAATCCAGTAGTCATGTGTATCTCAGCATTGGTTGATGCTACAAGGATAATTTTTATGCCAATCTGCTCCAACAGTCTATGCGCAGGTCCATGTCCCATCAGATCATTCTTCAAGAATAGAAAAAGTGATGCTATGACTGCTGGATTGTACCATCTTAGCTGCATGCCACCATTAATGCAGATCTCAGAAATGGAAAAGCAAGCTAGCTAGGTTAGCTATGCTAAGTATGCTTGGAATCAATTGCAATCGTACTTAGTGAAGGTTTCCAACTAAAAAAAGGTATTAATCTTGCATATTACTCTAAAGTGTGTAATAAATTATTTTATTTCAAAAAATAAACAATAATTTATTAATTAATGTGATAATAATATGAACTTGACAACAGGAAGAACAGGAATAGCTACAGAATTGCAGGTAAGATGGGACTTCTTGAACAAGGACATGTGCCAAGACTATAGCATCAGTATAGTAGATATTCCTTGACCATATTTAGTCAATCAGTGCTGTCTCTCATAAATGCTGTAAAATCATAACAATGATAATAATAATGAACTTATTGTTTGTGTAAAATAAACAAGTATCACAATTGCAACTGAAGAAATATTATAAATATCTTAAAAAACCAACACAAACAAGAACATAAAAATAAAAAAACAAGATTGAGTAGGATTCAGAATGACCTACAAAAATACGAAATGAAAATCCTACTCTCGTGATGCAAATTCTACTCTACACTGCAAGGCGATCTCTAATTCTTAAAATAATAACATTAAAAGTACAACGTAGAGTAGAATTTGCATCACGAGAGTAGGATTTTCATTTTGTATTTTTGTTGGTCATTCAAAATCCTACTTAATCTTGTTTTTTTTAATTTTTTATGTTTAGGAAAATAAAGAACTAATCTTGTACTATGTGGTGTGTGGAACTGCTGCATGGGTCCAATTAGTTAAATGGTAGTCTCGCATGGCCAGGCTCTATACTGCTTTTTGACTTTTGGATATCCAAAAGTCAAAAAGGGGTGGAGAGTCATGCCATGCGAGACTAGTTAGACGGGGTCTGGCCAACAAAGTAGGATTCATTATGAATGGCATTAAGTAGAAATTCAATGCCCCTTAAGTTTACAAATCACTTTAACTTAACCCTGCACACAGTGAATAACTGATATCAGTGACCTTGAGCATAAACAAGGCACTGAAGTATACTCTGCATACTTAACGATGACACAGTACTGCTACACTTAGCTAATTTTAACTTTGTTTTTAATATCACAATGTTTAAACTCTGAATTTAACAAGTCATTATATGCATACAGTTTAAGTGGGTTCATTTACTAAAATTTTTGCCAAAATTCAAGTACTAGTGTCTCAGATTTGGAAACTGAAAGTTCCTCTACTTGTGCCGGCTCTAAAAATTAGCATTGTTTAGTTAATAATAACTAAAACTAAAACCTATTTTAGTAAGCTGTTTTCCTTTACTAAAACTAAAACTAAGGCCTCGTAGTTTACACGATGACGCTAGCCTAATCTGCATCGTTTTTGCTATTACTGTTTTCAGGTGTTTACACTAATCCAGCAGCTGCGTCTTTATTGGACTTTATCATTCCTTTATAGAGTTATCCGTTTTGGTATTCGTTTTCTTTTGTTCGGATTTGATATGCGTTTTCTTGTGTTTTAGTGTAAACGAGACCCTTATTCGACTAAAAATATATCCGTTTTACTTTAAAACGTAGTCGTGTAAACCAGGCCTAAAATTCAGGCCTGGTTTACACGACGACGCTAGCCTAATCTGCATTGTTTTTGCTATTACTGTTTTCAGGTGTTTACACTAATCCAGCAGCTGCGTTTTCATTGGACTTCATAGACTTATCTGTTTTGGTATTCGTTTTTCTTTTGTTCGGATTTGATATGCGTTTTCTTGTGTTTTAGTGTAAACGAGACCCTTATCCGACTAAAAATATATCCGTTTTACTTTAAAACGTAGTCATGTAAACCAGGCCTCAAATTCCTCAGTGCTTATAACAATAATTAAAACCAAAACTAGTACTAATTAACTATAACAAAAACTAAACTACTTTAATTGTGAGTTACATTAACTAAAACTAAAACTAAAATAGCACACTTGAAACTGCTTAAATTATTGCAGTGTAAGTAAGAGGTCTGACCACTAATACCTGCACTATACTTTTGATCAGGTCATTTGGTTCATTTACTTGTTCTTAATTTTGATCGTTTAATTGTCTTTACATAAACGGAAAGAGTTTGGTGGATAATCATAAAACTATAACTAAAACTTACTAATTATTGTGCCATACTAAAACAACACTACTAAAAATACCATTCAAAAATGTAATCATTCTTTTACTTGTTAGCTATGAGTTGTTATAATTAGAGTCAGATAATAAAATTAAGCGCACTAAAAATGTGGCAGCACTGCTTTAGTGATAAAAACTAACTCATCTTATCAGGTGTCGTCTGGATGGCTCATAGACTGAGCCTTGCATAGAAGGATAATACATGGCTGTTGTTCATAGTCACAACAGCCTGTCGGCCGCTTCGATCGGCGGTATATCTATGGATAGATTATAGCATACCCCGTTATGTTAGCCTGCCACGGTTATTGGCAGACATGTCGCAAAAATACTGAGTCTCATTTATAGCCTTATCCAGACTTAAAACAAGACAGTGTAACTATTAAAATCAATCTACTCACAATTTACAGCAACCCTTTAGTGCCAAAAACTAAGAAGACTCAGCGAAGTTACAGCATAAACAGGTTGTCTTTGACCTTCCTTCTCTGCTTGCAGAAATATGTGCACCAACGCCGAAGCCGTACTTCCTGACACGTCACGTATGCTGTATCATAGATATTATAGAATATTTATGGCTGTATATGCATGAGTAGTCTCGAGTAGCTAGCCCCTCCCACAAACCACGGCCGGACTTATTTATAATTAATCACGGAGAACGAATGATGTATGCATAGATCATAGATATACAAACACTATAGTACCTCTATGCCAATTTCACTTCCGCAATGCATTAATTTATTGTTTACTGTACCATAGATTCACTATACTAAACCTATGGGAGGTGATTAGTGCCAAAATTAGGATACAGTTTTTTTAATGTGGCATTGTTATCAGCAAGCTATTTTCAAGTACCGTATTAATTTTTGTAAATGTAATTTCTACAGTATTGTAAAAATAATAATACATTAAAATAATTTATGATAAAAAATTTTCAACTTCAAGATCTTGGACTTATTAAAACTTTACATCCTTTGCCACAGAGTAATGTTTCAAATGCCTAGATTCAAAAAACTATAAAAAGAATTTTAATTACACATATATTTTATACTTCTTCAAACTGACTCATTGGAAACTCATGGGTAATGATTGGCTTTGTATTTATCCTATAAAACAATAATATAATTTGTCATCTTAAAAACATGACTTAATTGGAAAAATTCATATATATATATATCTATATGTGTATTATATATATCATACTAAACAGGTCTATATACAAAAATATAGACCTGAGGTGGGTGTCCAAGGATGTGATATAGCCCCGAGGACCGCAGGCCCGAAGGCCATATCACATCCGAGGACACCCATCAAAGGTCTATATCTTTTGTATACAGACCGGTTTTAGTATGTTATATAGGATATATTTTATAATGATGACGGCATTTCTGAATGGCAGGTATATATACAAAAATATAAACCCGACCACATCAAAGGATGATGTCATAATTATGAGATATATATATATATATATATATATATATATATATATATATATATATAGGCTGATTAACAAAATTTAAACTACACTACCAACTATTTTCTGTAGCTGTTGGAAACAATTTCAAGTAACTCCAATAAGATTCAAAAGAGGGAGCTGAGGCATTTCATTTGTATAAAGTGTATGATCAATAATAATGCAAAACTATAATAATGAACACTGATGTGGCATGGCCAGCACCATGCAGTTACTATAGCTTACATTTTTTTGTGTATTAGTTGCTCTGACTTCTCCCAGTCCTCAAAAATTCTTCTTCCATGTACTGTTTTAAGGACTAAGGATTTGAAAACAACATTAACCAGTGGATTTTCAATGTCAAGAGCTCCCTATACAATAGAAATATTACTAATGGGCAATAAAAATGATATTCTAATGTTTCATCAAATTTATTATTAGGTTTCGATAATTTTGGACTGCCCTTAACGTTATGCTTTCGAGTTTAAGCAATGGTTAAACTAGATGCATGATCAATTACACAATAGCAAAGACACTACCAGTTGCCTTTTGTTCTCTTAATTATTATTAGCAAGAGTTTTTCAATAGTTAATATAGCATTTTACTAACCTTAATTAGTCCAACAAAGCAAATTTGACCTCCTTTTCTATAGAACTTAAATAAAATAGAACTTTTCACTTTTAACAAACCTAAGATACTTAAAACAAGATCCTGCTAACTCAGTACTTCCTGTTGCTTCAATTATCCTTCCAATTCCATTCCCACCAGTTTTTTCCATTACTGAAATTATTTTAATTAACTCACATATAAGCTATAAACATACTTGTAGAATTGAGATCATCAGTGGCATTATTAATAAGAACATCTGCTCCAACTTCTTTTGCTAACTGTAACTTCTCTGGAAACATGTCACATGCATAACTGCAGGTATTAAAACATTTACACTAATTTAATATCATTTTCATACAAAATTGAAGTTTGGCAAAAAAACTATTCTCATAATCATTATTTTTGTCATTATGACAGTGATACTAGCTGCTATAATTTAGCAAGCAAAATATATGGCAGTGGTATTTCCATAACACAGCAAAATAATTGATAAAATTAATAGCTATATACAGTATTAATAAGCATAATCAAGTATATAAAGGAATCATACTCTTGGTATTAAACGTACACTTTACTTGCTCCTAATGCTTTGGCTATACCAACTGCAAGAAGACCTACTGGTCCACATCCCAGTACTAAAACATCTTCCCCATCAGGTTCAATTGATTCTACAGCTTGATGAGCAACACCACAAGCTGAAAATAAGTAAAATAAAAACAATCTTATTGGAGTCACTTACGTTCAAGTATGGCAGCTTGTGCATCATCTATATCTGTTTGCAATAAATAGGCAAACTTTGCAGGAATAATGGTATATTCAGAGCAGCCACCATGTTTAGTTCCTTTGCCATAACCAAATTGGTCAAGATTCTGACAAATATGTTTTAAATCTATGTAATGAAACTCCAAAACATACAACAAAGCCATAGCCATTGCTAACCATGTGTGCACTGATAGCACTTCCCACAGTAGAAATGATTCTCAACACACACTCTTTTACCAAGGGCATACTCGCATGGAACGTCTTTCCCAACAGATACTATCTCTCCAACCATCTCATGCCCAGGGGTGAAAGGAATCTCAGCTACTACTTTTGCAACTAATCAAGCAGAAGAGTGTATGGTACATGTCTTCCTCCCACACTTTGACACCTACCATAATTCCATTTGTATTTCTGTATATCTGTGCCACATAATGCAACCTTCTTTACCTTCACCAACAGCTCATCTTTGCTAGGTTGAGGCACTGGCACGTCTTTGTATAAGTATGACTCAGTTGGTGATTCCTTCACAAGGGCTTTCATAAACTTGGGCAAAGTTGCCATTCTTTCAGCCACACCCTCTTCTGAAAATAATAAATGTTTTTTTACAAAAAGTAGCAGTTCAATATATATTTGTTATATTAGTTATTTTCCGGGAGTCATAAGTATTTTACAGCCAGCACCACTCATTAACGTTGCAAATGCCTATGGAGACATTTATAACTATTTGCAAGAGAATAAAAAGATGACATACCTCTTCAAATTGACTCATGGGAAAGTCGTGTGTAATAATTGGATCAGTGTTTACTCTATGCCATAAATTAACATACAAAAGTAAAAGATGGCATTAATTACTGACTTGTTTTCCTTTAAAAATCTCTCAGGTTCAATCCAGTCTTTAAAAATCCTTCGTCCATGGACCGTTTTGAGAGTTAATGATTTAAAAACTACATTGGGCAGAGGGTCTTCTATATGAAGTGGCTCCTACAACAAAATCTGTGATACAATAATTACAATAAGAATGAAGTACTTTAGGCAAGCCAACTAAAACAATAGAACCACCCTTCCTGTAATTAAGTTTATTAGAGTTTGATTACAAATACATCACACTACCTTAATAGACTGAAACAATTATTAATCATTGGGACTACCCCAGTAGCATCAAGTAAACGTCCAATACCATTATTACTCGTTTCTTGCATTACTAACATTGCATTGACAAGTTGTATACACAAAGAATCTTTAATCATAAGTCATTACTTATCTCTTTAAGGTTTTGTGTTTTGCAATTTACAGTCACATCAGCTCCAACTTGGCTAGCTACCTTTAGTTTTGCATCCACAATGTCACAAGCAATGCTAAAAATTTATCATGAAATTCTACAAGTCAAGAAATTGTATACTAACATTTTTGTTGCTCCCATTACTTTAGCTAAGCCAATTGCAAATAGTCCAATTGGTCCACATCCTAACAAAGAATAGCATTAAATACACCTAAAGCCAGGACAATTAATTACCCTGAATAAGAATATCTTCTCCTATAGGATTAATGGCATCAAGTGCCTGATGAGCAACTCCACATGCTACAAATGATTAAAGGTGAAGTGTCATGCAATTACTAGCATACGTTCTAATATTGCTGCTTTAGAATCATCCAAATCAGTTTGAAGGAGATAAGCATATTTTGCAGGCACTATTGTGTATTCTGAACAACCTCCATAAGGAGTACCTTTTCCATGACCAAACTGATTGAGGTTTTGACAAATATGAGGTTGCCCTGTACAAAGTAATTTAATCACAGAAGCTTCAATTGGCTTAACTCACCATGCATACATTGATAACAATGCCCACAATAATAATGATTCTCAACACAAATTCTCTTTCCAATCTGATATTCCTGGGGAACATCTGAGCCAAGCTGCACAATCTGAAACAAAAATGTACATGTTAAGTGGTAGTCTCAGCCTGCCCCTTCACTAGTCAAAATCAAAACTGTGTACTGTAATTTTGGGATTACATTTAAATAATTTTTTGTATTGCTATAACAATTCATTGAAGAATTACTATAGCTAAAAATTATTATTGATTTTACCTCTCCAACTGTCTCATGACCTGGTGTAAATGGAATTGCTGCAATAGTCTTTGCAACTGCATAATAAAAATCTTAAACAAAGCAGGAAATATTACTCTTACTCTCTCCCCACTTGTACAGGGTGATGTCTGAGCCACAAATTGCAACCTTCTTCACTTTGACTAGCAGTTCACCTTGACCAGGTTGGGGCACTAATACATCTTTATAAATATAGGATTCTGTTGCTGACTCTTTGACCAGAGCTTTCATATATTTAGGAAGAGGCTGAGAAGAGCTTTCCATTGCAATGGAGCATTAAGCATAAGCAATTAACCAGCAGCCACCTCCCTATTCTATCATTATGCGCATGCGCAGAGCTAGAGTCGCAGACCAGCCACACCCAAATGAAATAAGTCATCACACAACACATGTGCGATGAGGTTGGAAAAGTGCTATTTTTGTTCTTCTACCATTTATCCAGGTCATGGAATCATGTTTGTCAGAAATGACTGTAAAGTAATGGTTAATGCATGCAAGTTTGATTACTTTTGTAAAGCAATTTAGATTCTGTCGGTCCAAGTGTCATAAAGCTTTTAAGAGGAAGAGAAACCCTAGGAAAGTTAGATGGACAAAAGCATTTAGAAAAGCAAATGGAAAGGAAATGACTATGGTAAATGAATTTTATTATTAGTGGTATGAGTGTGTATGTGATGGTGGTGGTGATTATCATAACGGGTGTAAAGCTCTGAATAATTATGATATCAAAAGGTTTAGGTGATAAAAATTGGCAGAGATGTATTTAGCATTTTACATATATTATATAGCCATTCGTCAAAATAGATATCCGCCATTTGAACCATTGTGTGCATGCTCAATGGTACATAGTGACAAATTTTTCTAATTAAAACTTGCTAATTGCTAAAATTCAGCAATTCACCTAAATTTAATCCCTTCACTGTCAAAAAGTATAATAAGATTTATTATAAAGTGAGAAAAGACAAGTAGAGAGTAGAATCGCTTTAACATGAGCTACTAAGGAACTGGTAGCCATTTTGACTTTGAAATTGGACATAATGAAGGACTTTAAGACAGACTAGTAAAGTACTAAATGTTTGGCTACTTGTATGATATTTTTTATCCATTATTATAATCAAGAGTGCATGATATGACTACATGGGTTGGAATTATATGCTGCCTAACCATTATTTTTTCTTCAATTTATGCATTAAAGTGTATTGCATAAAAAATCTAGACGAAGCATACTACATTGCAATTAAATATTATGAAATTTTAAAAATAATACTGATAAAGAGACATAGGTTATGCAATGTGAATGTGGTGAGCATTTGGCTGAGTTATGTATATGTAGTTTGCTATTGTCACTGACTTCAAAGGAGTGGAGTGATATATTAAAGAAATACAGCCTTTATGCACCTGTACTTGTAAAACACTCATTAAATACCACTCACTCCTTGTATTTATAGCAAACAAAATTTTTAAAATGTAGCAATTAAGTTTTGAACTTGTGACTGAATAATAATTATTTGAACTGGTTTACAAAGTATTAATTTTCAACTGGAATACGCTGCCATATGTTATACATAGGGTCTAGCATGTGATTCAAATGTGAGTAAATTATTTGAGCATTAGCATTATAGTCATGTTTTGAATGTACCGTACAAGATGATTTATTGGTGGAGTAACATTTGGTGAATTTACTTATGGAAGTTTAATTGGCAAATTTTATATTGACGATTTTGTGCCACATGCCATTGAGCATGCTCAGATTGTAGCAAAATGGCAGCTTTTATATTGGCAATTTCTTTATGGAATTGCCAGTATTGATTCCTCGCCAATAAATTATCTTGTACGCTAGTCATTTTCTATGTAAAGCAGGTCTACATAATATTCATTGCTTTTTTGTGTTGTGTTACAACCAGGAGTGCAATAGAAACAAGTGGTCACATTTCAAAACGTTGGAATGGAATGTTTTTCTATTTTGGCATTGTGATGCCCATTGCCATTTGCTTCTACAGCACTTCCAGTCACAATATAAATCATGAAAAGCAATGCATCATTTTGTAGACCTGCCATGTATTGAAAAAATTCATGGTCCGAGTACAATAATTAATAAGGAAAATATTTTATTGTTAAAAATGAAAACCAAAATTAATAAGTATATAATGCTTTTCTACTGTTTCTGGATTTTGTTTGAATCTTTGAGATGATTTATAAGTGATAAGTTAACAGTAAAGCCTTACTTAATTTTTGTGGTCAATTTGTAGCAATGGGAACTTGTTGGAAACACCTCTAGACTTTGATTTTCTCTGGTACACGGAATTGTACTTGATACCATTGATACTCTAGAGGTAAAGTACTTGGAATCAAACTGAATCACATTCATGCTGCATCTCGTCACTAGTTTATACCAGTCAAGCAGCTGCGTTGGTAAAAAAATTTTTGTTTGTTTAATGTTTACAAAAGTATCCACTTTGAGGTCTCCTTAAGTGATGCATATTCATGTAGTGTAAACACATCCTAATAAGGCTGCATTTGAATCAGGTTTTGTTTTTGCTGTTATTGTTATCTAGTGTTTACAATTTTCTAGTGTTGACACTAATCTTGCAGCTGCATTTTTATAAATTATCATTTTGTTTACAGAAGTATCCCAGTATGCATAATTAGTGTAAACACAAGCTGTATTTTGAAGCAAGAAAGCCTCAGTCCAGAGTATAGTCTAAACATAGCCTAATAACCTTTGTGTGTGAATTTCCTTTGTGGTAGAGCTAATTGTCTCTGAGTTACTAGTATACTTAAGTTAACTTAATTGCCAAGTTGATTAAGTAGTCAATTCATAAATTTAGCTGTCATGTCTGACATTGTGTGATTGACATGCTTTTCTTGCCCTTTCATCCATTATGCTTGTGAAGTCATGATAAAAATTACATGTCGTTACATAGGTGGTGGTAGTGAGATTACGAAAAACAATATTTTATAGTGGGTAATTTTGGAGGGGAGAAATGTTAGTGATTGGTGGGTTTTAATTTGGTGAATTTACACATTTGGCCAGCAAACCGTTAAGGAGTAGCCTATGTGAATTTAAAAATAGGGCTGAGGCACTACATTTTGGTGTTATCTACTCATAATTTCTTATGATAATTTAGGATGCGTCATTAGAATTTGAGAGGAAAAGAAATATTCCTACAAAATATAGCAGGGAAGTTTGGGACAAAACAGGTTAGTGGTTATATGCGTAGTATTAAATTATACATGCATTAGGCTATTGTATGTACATGTATAATGATGCTGCGATGTATTCTAGATATTTAGTAAAAACAATTAAACCTATTTTGGTTTTACATGTAGGTCTTTAAACTGATTAGACACCCAATACATTATGTCTTAAATGGTTCCAAACACATGCAGCAAGAATCAAAAGCCTTTCCCTTACTTTCAGTGATACTCTGGTGGCTTAGATGGCACTGAGCACTAGTGAGCAGACATGCATGCATAGTGACCATCAAGGAAGACAATTGATGGCTTTTTTTGCAGCAGAAATTTTTTGTTAATCGTTTTCAAATTTGATAGTAGTACTACCATAGTCTAAGTTGGTTATTGACCTCAGCCTTGGCATTGCAGGAAAATTAGACAACCACCTATGCCCTTGGTTGTTATCTGATCTTGCTAAGGTATCTACACATAATTCAGTGTCTCTTCTTTTTTCATTAATCTACACTTAATCTAGTTGAAGCTATTAAGAAAGTTGAAAAGGTCAAGGTCAAGAGACAAAATCAGTTCATTAAAAACAGGTTCATTTGACATGTCATAATTTTGCAGCTGACATTACACTTCTATTGTACTACTTCCTTTAGGCTAAAGGCAGGTCTTAAATTACAAAATGAAGCTAACAAAAAAGAAGTTGAAAAAGGAATTTATTTACTGGAACAGCCATCAAGTAAATTAAGAAGGCTTCGAGTGTATGCTATTAACAAAATTTTTGGTTTACAGTTACTGCTGATAAGATAATCGCTGCACAGAAAGAAAGGCAAGTATCAAAAAGAGAAGAAAAAGATGTTGAACAAATGGAGGCTGAACAAGTATAACTTTTATAATAGAATAAACAATTAACCACTATCATTCAATAATGTATGTATCTATATGAAAAAAGTTTAAAAAAACAAACTCAAGTCAAGACAAGTCACAAATACATGTACATGACAATAATAAATCTATAATTAGGGACTGGTTTACTGAACTATATCATTAAGGACAGAACAGTGACTAATATTAGTGAGACAAACAAAGTCCACTCAACAGCAAGTGTTGAAGCACCTGCTGGAGATGAGATTGTAGGTGTAGGCATAGTACTAGTACTACTGGAAGTAGGAGTGCTAATGGCAGTGGTTGATACACTCATAGTACCACTGGCACCTATATTGGTGGTACTAGTGGAAGTTGTGCTTAAACTTGATGATGAGGATGAAGACGATGGCGATGGCGCCGACATGGGTGTACCTACATACCAATAAAGTAATTAAAATGGTCATAATAGGAAAACCAAACCTGTCAATGAGAAAAGTTCATTTGGGGTGCCACCCTGTTGTGTTACAGCACGACAAGCATATTCTCCAGCAGAATCAGCAGCTACTGTAATTGTGTGTGCAATAGCAAGTCTCATCTGATTATTGTTCGTGATAGTTGTTGTTTTAAGAACTTGCGAATCTTTGTAAAATGTGACTGTTACATCTGACAGGCATGTTTCTACTTGACAGGTTACAGTAATGGTGTCGCCAATAGTGAACTGAGACAAATCATAATCAGGTATATCAGACAATATGACAACCGGCACTAAAATAACAAGAAAGAAGTAAAAAGAATAAAGTATTTTTATTAATACCTCCTTCAACAACAACTCTTATGTTAGTACTAGCAGGTACAGGACCAACGACTTGACAAACATAAATACTCGCATGGCTAGTAACCAATGGATCAAATGTTAGATTAGCCGTAATGAAATTTGTCCCATTCACTTCCATCTGTGATGTCTGTCATAGAAATAAAAGTAAAAACATGAAGATATTTATCTACAATAAATCAAATAAGGAAACAATAATGATTGGTGTTGGTCTTCTGACAACCTACAAATGCTTGCAATGCAGTTCTGTCAAAACATAGTTGACAAATTAAGTTATGATAGCAACACTGCCTACAATCAATTATTGAAATATTATTATGCATTATGCATACACAAGTTATGTAGTGAGAAACAGTTTTAAACTATACTGAACATGTACATGTATATTTTAAAGTGATTGCTACTAACAGAGTACCTTGATGCCATCATGATGGCAGCACTATCTTGTACACCATAAACTTTGCAGTGACTATCTGAGTTACATGTATCTAGCATGATTATTACTTTCAGCATAATTTATGGATTATACGTATCTAAGATGGTGGTCAATATTGTGGTTATTGTCCCCACCATTGTGCCACGCATGAAAGGCTCATACACTTTCAGATAATTGTTTACAATACATTGAATACACACAGTCACATGACATACATAAAAATGTACGAAATGCCATATCAGTAGACAAGTTGAAATTACATTTGCCAAATTCATGTACAAGCTACCATTAACACACATAAATGTGCAATAAGTACAATACATGTATATAAAGTCAGGATTCAGGAACACATTAGTTAAAATTAACCATTTAATCACCATCATTATTACAGCTTCAGTCAATATAGCACAAAAGCAATATCGCATACATATGCACACTTTAATCTGGCTAAAATATTTTGATATCAAATCCAGTTACTTTACTTAATACTATACGTGTACATCCCTACATGCTGAACAAGCAAAAACTTACATGTACATGTACATGTAGGTCAACAATAGAAAATACCGGTAGGTCCGGTACACATGTAAATTCAAGGAGAATAGTTTTTAAAAATGGGAATGAAATGCAAGTCCATAATGCAGCCATAAATACATGTACAATATGCAGAACAGGATTGGAGACCGGATCATGTGAGCACATTATGCGTTGAATCACTCCTAGTTAGACATGATAAAGGCTGTTGATTGGGACCATTAACAAAACTTTGTGGGACCCATCAGACGATATCTGATGGTTTAACAACTAAATATCTGCTTCTATGGCTACTTCATGCCTCTCACAGTGCACTATGATGTTTGTCATGATATGCATCTAAATTTGTGTCCTGGCTCATGGTCTTTTTGTCCTAACACACCATAACTTTCTGAAACTTGCTGACAAATACCATAATCTGCTAATGATACTGAAAAAGTAACTATAAAAGCTCACACTAGCCCATCTTCCTATCTTTTGCAGTTGCTAGAGTCCTACAAACTTTTTGAAAAGGAACCTGCCAGCAATAATTCAGCAGCTGGCCAGGGCTCCAATCCAACCAGGAGTGTTTCAATGTATAAAGTACTCACGTGATCCTGTTCTGTGTATTGTATCTATCATGCAGCCAAGACTATATAGTAGTAAGGGTCTGCCTAGCCAAGAGTACACATACAAATCGAGAGTAGGCTTACAATACATATATACACACAATCAGACATGGTCATCATTACTTACAGTAACAAATCTACTTTCTGTGTCTGTTAGTCTAATAGAACCCAATCCAAAGAAAGACCAAAACACATCAGTACCAGCTCCAACACACTGAATGACCTCTCGGCAGAATACACGAGAATTGAGCGTACCAGTATTGGATACGAAAACAAGGGAAGCTTGTGGGACAAAAAATAATAATACAACTTCTAATGAAGTGATACTTACTTTCTTGCCCGTTAATAAAGGGCAAATTACAGAAAAAGAGTAAAAGAAAGGCCCAAGCAGCAGTCATTATCGGCATCTTTCTCAAGCACAAGCAGTGAAGCAGAGATTTTTTGCATTTTATACAATAAAAATAGAAACTATTCGGTATAAATCTAAAGGGCGTGTGCTGTGTTGCATGGGCGTTAACTACCGGTGTTGCAACTCAATCCCAAACACCCATAATTCATGCTCCCTCTTTTCCGGTCGTAAATACTTTTGCCTCGACAAGATTGTTCTCGAGAGTGTTGACTCATTTCCTGTGTGTCCTGTCCTTGACTTGTCGATGTCAATTGTCGAGTCGTCTCATATCAGCGACTGACAGCGAGAGAGGCTACATTGTTTAACAGGAGACTCCTGTGTTTAAAGATAAGTGTAAGTAAGTGTATCTAAGTTTGCTTTCACTCCATCTTTCTGCCGTACAGGGTGCTTTAAGTTTGTAAACATGGTGACTTGGTGGACGAGTGCCTGTTTTTGTGCACTTTTTCTCATTAGCACATGTTCCAGTCAACTTTGTAATAAGACAGTGTCGGGTAAGGAGAGTTTATCTATAAATTTAGCATGGTTAAGATGTTACAATTTTAAATGCCACATTTAATTTTTTCAATCTTATTACTTAAAAGGCTGTGTATGGATATTTGTGTACTTTTCTGTCAATGCGTTGACCCTTTTGGGTCTCAAAAAGTACCATATTTCCTTGAAATCTTTTCGCCCTTGAATTCTATCTGCCTTTGAATTATATCCATACCATTAAGAAGGCTGAATGAATTTCAATGAAATAATATTCACCCTTGAAAGGCTTCAGGCTTGAATTATTAATTGTTGCGCATGCGCAGTAGTATTAGCACTTAATTGCACATGTTAACTGTAGAGGAAGCCCAAAAAGTGGATGTATAGCTGCTGATTAAATGGAGCTGAAGCTGTTAGTCTTCGCCCTTGAATACTATTTGCGCCTGTATTGTACCCGCAGTGCTCTTGCTTCTAAAATTGATGGTACCCGCGGATAGAATTCAAGGAAATCGGTAACACTAAAATAGCAGAAAAAATGAATTTTTAAAGCATTTGTAACGACAGTTACAAGTTGCAACTGATTATGAAAGAACAATCAAATGCTGTAGAAAAATATGACCAAAAGCACTCTCAAGTCTCAAAATAGAGAGAGTTAGTATTAGGCTTTTGCAGGTGGATTACTTAAGTTTTGCTAGCCAGACCATTCCCCAGCCTACAGTCATTAGTGTAGACTGTGGAATGGTCCAGCTAGCAAGAGTAGGATTACTGGTAAAGAACGTATCAGAGCTCCAGAAGCAAGAATTGGAGATAATCTGACACAACATAGAATATATACACTTAGATTTTTTTCTAGACATGGTGGTTGATTGTTTAACCCTGTCTTAAACTACATGTATCAATATAAACAACATTTATATCCCAACAATTAAGAAGGCTGAATGAAATACACATGTAATATTCACCCTTGAAAGGCTTTAGGCTTGAATTATTAATTGTTGCACATGCGCAGTAGTATTAGACTATTAGCACATAATTGCACATGTTAGCTGTAGAGGAAGCCCAAAAAGTGGATGTATAGCTGCTGATTAAATGGAGCTAAAGTTATTAGTCTTCGCCTTTGAATACTATTTGCCCCTGTATTGTACTTGCAGTGCTCTTGCTTCTGAAATTAATAGTATCCACAGATAGAATTTAAGGAAATGTAGTAATAATTTGTCACACTTAAATAGCAGAAAAAAAAATTTTTAAGCATTTGTAACCACAGTTACAAGTTACAACTGATTGTGAAAGAACAAAGGAGTGCTAATAAGTTAAAGCGCCAATCAAATGCTGCAGAAAAATATGTCCAAAAGCACTCTCAAAATAGAGAGATTTAGTGTTAGGCTTTTGCAGGTGGATTACTTAGTTTCGCTAGGCAGATCATTCCCTAGCCTACAGTCATTTGGGTGTAGGCTGTGGAATGGTCCAGCTAGTGAGAGTAGGGTTACTGGTAAAGAAAGTATCAGAACTCCAGAAGCAAGAATTAGACCATAATCTAACACAACATGGAATATCCATTTTTGATTAGATTCTTTTCTAGACATGGTGGTTGATTGGATTGCTTTTTCATAATTATAGACCTGTGTGTATCACTCTTTTTCTACATTGGATGTTGTTATGAATGATTGTGTGTATTAAATATCTGTGTATTTACAAAATTTAGCTAGAAGCAATCAATATAATCCTTTTATGACAAATATTGTGTACATGGGTGGAATAATTTTGAGTTGGTGAATTTAGTTTAACATAGTCATGGGAATACATTATTGTCATGAGTAATGGCCACTTATTACTCTAATTTCCTCTTTTAGTTGAGGTGACAAGTAGTGGTCGTTTGATGTTACCATCTGTTGGTAGTGTCATTTTGTGGACTGATAAGCGTGTTCAAAGTTGGAATTTTTCTAATGGAACAAGTCTATCTGTAAGTACATATATTGTGAAGTTCTTTGAAGTTTTCTGATTGCATTTTTTTTCAAAAATAATAATAATGTGCTCCAACTCCCATCGTCCAAAAAATTACTCACTGCAGTATGAGCCTGAGAAAATGCCCATTTTTGCTTCCTTCAATGTTACTTCCTGTCGGTGGGTTGGCTAAATGTGATATCATAAGAGGCGTACATGTACATTATAGATGTCATTGCTGCATGTATAGGGGAAAATGATCCTGAATTTAAAGATTGGGATGATTGGCTCTTGTTATTCTAAGCATGGAACTGCAAGAAAAAGACACAGAATACGAAACAAAAGATTCACCTACTTGTGGTATTTTACGTTTTCTTGCAGCTCGATGCTTAGAATAATGAAAGCTTATGATCCCAATCTTTAAATTAGTGCCATTACGTTACTAGGAATGAGAATAAAACATCATTTTCCCCTATGCAGCAATGGATTAATTTTCTTATGACCTCACGTTTAGCCACACTCACCAACAGGAAGTAACATTGAAGGAAGTAAAAATGGGCATTTTTGAAGGCTCATTTCTCAGTGAATTATTTTTTTTGAATATTGGGAGGCGGAGCACATTATTGTTATGGTCAGACAATAATATTAAGACCATAACATAAATACCCCCCAAAATGCATATCTTTAGTGTAAACTTGAATTAAGATGTTTTTTTTTAATTTTTAGGATCGTCAGTACATATCTGTGGGTACAGAAGATTCATATTACATATTAGTTGGTGGTGATACAACTTATAATGTCACTCTTGAATTTGATATACGTAAGTACAACATGTACATCTGTACTTGTGCATGTACATCATAAAATACCATACTACCTTATAGCCCCAAGTTTTCATTGGTTAAAAATTTTTTCAAGGTGTATTGTTGACGAAATTTTATAATTATGTTGTCCTGCATTCTGTAGTATGCAAATTATAGAAGATTTTAATCTAAATTTTAATTCGAAGAAGAAAAGAAAAATTTTACATTCAAAAGTTTGGAGCTATACGTGAAAATATTTGCTGGAATTTCATTTTGATGTTTTGCAAAATTCCACAAATTATAATTCTTTGCACAATAAATTTTGCTCTATTTAGCACAAAATCACTTAATAGAATGTGTACAAATATTTTTAGTTAGCACAGTATTTTTGATTGCTTACAATGTACTGTAAAGTGGATAGTGTTGAAAGGGAGACATTTTGGCGAATTGCTAACATTTTGGTAAGCAACTGTAAAATCAAAGTAAATACTCAATTACGAAGGCTAGGTACTAACATTGCAAATTCACACAAGTTATTTCTATAAAAAATTGATTTTATCAATCTGTGAAATTTTATTAAAGCACTATACAGTAGTACAAAAGGGGGAGGTTGACTTGGCGAGTGGCTGTTGACTTGGCGAGTGGCTGTCACAATGTAAAGTTTGCCAAAATTTATCAAATTACCTGCTTTATGGTAGAACTGGTGTGAGTGTATACTCCTTACAGTGACTTGATTAATGATTTATTCTTCTACATGTGCAATGTATAGCCATTAATCGTACATTTTTTGTTTTTAGGTGCTATTTCATGCAAGAATATTACTCTGGACTTACAAGTTTCTTCTCGAAGTTTTAGTTGTGTTCCTGTTAGTAGTTGTGGAACTTCAGATGATATTGATGTTACTAGAATAAGATGGTTGAAGGCGTATTACATTGATGACGACAGTTATGTAGATGACTATCAAGAGTTAGGCTCTAGTGGGTGTGATGGTTTTATGCCAGTTGGTATAGACAATCATATTGGTAGAGATCGTATAACCTTTAATGATTCACGAAGTGAAGATAACAGGATAATTTCTAATGGGACTCTTATTATTACGCAAGACAATGCATGCTCAGCTGGATATTACATTGCTGTTGCTGATGGAGTAATAATATATCAATTTACTTTTTATTGTAAGTGCAGTGTGATTGTATTATGTATTGATAGTTCTTTTCATAGATGGACCAGAATTTGTTAACAATCCTTCTACAGAAAGTGCTAAAGTCACACTGGGGGCAGATAATTTTCATGAGTTTTCCTGCCTTTTCCGATCCTTTCCATCTCCCATTGTGACATGGTATCTGAATGATCAAGCAGTTAATGAGCCAAATGTCAGATATGTCAACATATCTTCAAACAACAATATGATGCCAAATACGACTGTTACTAGTGTTGCCTATGATTACACATGGACTCTTTTTGGTGGTCTGACAATTAATGATGTACAGTATGAGAATGGTGGCAGATACAGATGTTCAGGATCCAATGGATACATGACTACTGAAAGTGATAGCAGACTTTTGAGAGTTCAAAGTAAAATTAATGTTGTTTATTAATAATTTTTAATTTTTGTTTAGGTCCCCTTCGTCCTCTTTGGCCTATATTAGGTATCATTGCTTCTTGTATTATTACTGCTGTATTTATTGCTGCTGGATATATTGTGGACAAAATTAAAGGAGATGACAAAACGACTATTAGTCAAGATGAAATTGATGGTAATGAAATATTTTTTAAAGTTATGTGACAAAATTTAAATTTAATTAACTATTACTGTACTTTCTCGAACAAGAGTTCCCATGAGCAAATAAAATACTGTACTTTACATATCACAGGAAACACATCCATGCCAGAAAAGCCATTAAGGGAAATTGACTCTTTTTCGGGAAACTATGGTAAGGTATGGTTGGGTTCTGCCGGTAGTTAGGCGATTCCACTATTTTTGTCTTTGTTTCATTTTAATTTTTGCAACAGTGGTTTCTGTTATAATGTATAAATTGAGCAAATGAGCCCTTACAAAAAATTAATGGCAAAATTAATGAAATTACTTGACTACTGGAGATGCCCCTCCTACCTTACTGCTATATTGTTATCATTGAATTTATTTTCTTCTGTTTTGTTTTAATTTCATAATAATAGGTGCTTTTCGTCCATCGTCAGTGTAAGTAATCATTATGACTGATATTTTAGTATTTGTTTATATTCATTATAGGAATTCGTTCAATGAGGATGATACAAAGGAACTGTACAGGAGATCATCTAGTGCTAAGGAATTGCTGCCTAATCAGACTTCATAATAGTGACATGCATATAGTTTTAATTAATAAAATGCCTTATGCTTCATGAACTCTTTGATTATGTCCTGTACTTTAGCTGTTATGAATTTTAGTTAATTCATTATTATTTGTGCTACTAAGGAAAGTCAATTTTTTCACGTAGTGATTCGGGCGTTTTTTTATGTGCATGTATCCCTTACTAATATAATGGAGAAAGGTGGTCTTGCTCTACAGAAACAGCTAGTCAGAAATGAAACTATGTTGTGTACTACCAAAGCATTGTGTCCAAATAGAACTGTAAGATCATAGTATTTATTGTCAGTTGAGACTCCATAACTTCCTCATATTCCTTGTAGTATGTGGTTGGGAAGTCAATGGCACTATATGCAAGATATTACAATTGGGCATCAGATGAGCACAGTTCACATTTAGAGAAGTGTACCTGTAAGCCAAAAACTGTGTTCTCTGTCTGCTTTCCCTTGAGGCCTAGAAGACAGCATAAGGAATTACACAATAAGGTGAAGGAATTGGTACACAATCCTCAGAATAACCAGATCAAGAAATCTACCTCCAAAAGTAAAGAAACACCAGTTATAGAAAAAGTATTCTGTGATGACTTGGAAAGAAAGAAGAGTGGAAGAATATACAAAAGCCTAGTACTTCCACCTATAAATAATCCTGATGTCAAGCATGGTGTAATGCCTCTTGAATTGAGTTATTCATACAGGTACTCTTACTTTAACAAAACATACAACAGTGTACCACGCCAATAAAGATTAATATATTCATTAATTATTGCTACGCATAACTTACAAAATAAACTACCTCCCATTATGTGCACTTTGACAATACTGCCACTATCATTTTAAAATGGCAAAATCAAGTTTATGTTTAATTTATCAAAAAAATGAATAATAATCCTAATAATGAACCAGCTATTAAATAAAGAGCACAGAATTAAGCTTTCTTGTTCTTTAATTTCTCGTATTTGGAATGACTGGAATACCAAAGATAGAAAGGAAGCAGCATAGTCGGAGCAGACATCAAAAAGAATGCTATCCATTCAGTCTAAACAAATAATAATTAAAAAAACACTGTACGATCACTTACAATATGTGAAGAATGTTCACGTGAGAATTCAGATAATTCTAATACCCTATAATTACCTGGAGCACTAGTAAAACCAACCTAAACAAAAAAAAACAACCAATGTACATACATGTACATGTATATGCATGTCATTGATACCTTCTTGTGACCATCTTCATTGCTAATATAGCTCAGAGATCCCCATGAAATATTATAAATCCCAGAACTCAATGGACGTAATATAACAGTATGAGTTACATTACCACTACTACAAGGAGTATAGGATTAATAATTATTGCTATTGGTCAATTACATGTATGCATTACTTTGGAATCCTATCCCAGCTGACAGACATTAGCCCATGAACAAGCTCAAAATCAGTGGATGAAAATGAGTCATCAGTCAATTTGACGTCACGTGCCACACTAAATTAAAAAATAAAGCAATATATATTTAACTACTGGTAAGTATTATACATGCACATAATGTAAATAATCATTTAATTCACAAGCATTAAATAATTATAAGTTACGCAAGTACTAATTTTGTAATTGAAAATAAACTATATGCATTCACAGGATTCATCAATGCTGCCTCATGCACACTACACAACTGATTACCAAATAAGAACTACTGTACATGGGCTACATAGGTATATCAAGTTTAATAGCGTGAAGAACTTTTGCTAGCATTGAACTTACTATACTCATGGTACATGTACATCAGCAGTAAAGGCTATCATATACGGAGCAATATTGTTGCATGCAACTTTGATCTATGTTGCCTCAAGTTGACCACTGCTCAACTTGAGGCAACAAGATAAAATTAACCACAAAGTTTCAAGCAACAGGGTTGCCCCGTGTATGATAGCCTTAATGGGTACTAAAATACATGTAGTATGGCTGTAACAGATCTGGCAGAGTTCAGTAAACACAATAAAACATTGAAGTACATATACAATGTACATGTATATGTACACAACTAAAGCATGAGTGCAGGTCCAGGCCACAACCTTTACCTATTTTTGAACTCTTGAAACACGACAACGTACTACGTAATTAGTACTCCATTTGGCATGTCTACAAAACAGCTAATAGATTTGGTGCAGTATTCAGGCTTATGGGAACTAAATAATGGCTTTTGGATCTTCAATTGTAAGTGACTCCATGACGATTCCTTTCCATACATACACTTCCTGAAGGATTCCTAGCATTATGTTTATCATCAGCTAGCACCAAGCTTCAAGTCCTGCATTATTTCTTTGTAGTTGAACTTCGACAGTCACCATTTCTGCCACTCTCATGTGAACTGAAACACTATGTCACCTTGATTATTTGGTCCAAAATTCAAGATGACAGGCTTCCAAATTTGTGCTATGTGCAATGTGCATATGCAATTATGCATATTAGACAATGGTTTTAAATAGGTAAAATTTATCACACACAAAATTACCAGATATATGCCATGTACCTGTACATGTAGATACTGTGTACATGTACATGTTGCATATATGTACATGTACATGTATATTGTCAATCTTTCATATGACCCTATTTTGTCAAAGTACCTAAATCTAGTTTCTTAGCCACACATACATGTACAGTCCATTCTAGTCAAATGAATTGTAATACCAGAACTCAGATACATTGCTAAACTGCTATCTCCCAAATTTCACCAGAAATGACTAGAAGAGAATTTTTTGTTTGTAAAATTTTTTCTGATATATATGACATGTTTTTATGTTGTGCAGAAAGTTCGAGTTGATTTGAAACAAAATTAGAGTTTTTATGAAAGTCATGCCAACAGCGTCTCCAACAAGTCAATGAGACATGAAGCTTCCTAGAGCTCTGAAAACATGAGATGAGAACTTTTCTGAATATGGCATTACAGACTTGAACTATAACATAGGCAACTAGGCATGACATTGGTATAGTTATATTGGCATGTGAGACTCTCTGACACTGTTCACTTCACAAAATAAACACCGGATTGAATAAGTTATTGCAAGCAGGGTTTGAAATAAAACTGAAACCTCAACCTCTTAACTAAGATTGAAGGGTGGTCGTGGCTAAAGAGGTGTCGGCCAGGTGTGTAGATTGGGTAAATTAAAAGATCAGTTATCATATAATCAAAAGGTATGTACTTAAGACAGAGAAATTCATATATAAATGAGATACCTTGATCCAGTATTGTATATAGTGTAACGAACAGTCATATCTTTTCCTTCTACAAGGTAGTCATTCAAAAACGTTTTTGAAGCTAAAAGATGAGCATCACTAAGACTTGGTGTGGGCCAGTGACAGATCAACAGCAAAACAACAAAACACTACAAAAGGTAATAGTTAACACAAATACTCTACTACATACATAAAATCCCTTCATAGCTACAAGGTTCTTTCAATCGAAACGAACAAAGGGAACAAACAAACAAAACTCAAAGAATAGATCACGTGGATATTTAATAATGTAGGAATGAAAGGGTTAAATATTTTTTAGTCCAGCCCATGTGTGAGGAAATGGCTACCGAAATGGCTGACAACGGTATCTTGTCACTGAAGCAAGAAACAGTACTTTTAAAGGATTCTATTAAGCTAGAAAGAATGAAGTATGCTGATACAACTTGTGAGTTTATATTGGTGTTAGTGTTTTGTGTCTGTGTGAATGATTAAAAATTTTGTATTACTATTGTTAGTGAAGGAAGCAAGTGCCAAGATTAGCGATGTGTCTTTAGTAGCACCTTTACAGTCAATGAAAACAAGAAAGACCCTCAAACATCATTTGAAAGTGATAGCATTTGATTGGTCACCTGATCAGAGACACATTTACAGTGGTGGTGAAGTAAGTCAATTCTTTAGTGAAAACTCATTAGTCAGTGACACATTGCAGTTTTATATGAAGCATGTGTATATACGGTATTTAAAGCTATCAGCTGGGTTGTCAATGAACGTTATCGACGTATCTGCCTACCCTAGCTTATTGGATTTTATGCAAATCTTGCTGTGTATTACATGTACATGTAGAACTATGAGTATAGTAGTATACTGATGTAGGCCTGATCTCACTGGATTTCAACTGTACTTCTTTGGCACAAATTATTCAGTGCTACTTTGTCACTTAAAGTCATGATGTGACACCCCATACACCTCTAGTATACACATAAGTCCCTCCTCATAATATACCATAGGTTAGGGTTTCTTCATGGCTACTTACCATATAGCGGAAAATTTTTGTGGATTTTGTGGGTTTTCAAATTCACGAAAATAAAATCCACGGAAGTTGATTCATTGCACTTCAAGATGGCCAAAAAGTAGAAAACTACAAAAATGAAAGCCATGAAATTGATTTTTGAACAGATCCTCAAAATTTTTGGGCTACGAAAATTTTCCGCTCTACGGTATTTTTGCGATAATAAAAGTTTCAATTAAATACATTTACCATGGAAACCTTTATAGTATTGCTATGACAATAAGACCATGTGTTTACAGTGTTCAGCTAATCATCTATTATATAGCAGCTTTGGTGGGGCCATTCACCAATACTTAGCAAGTTGCTCTCTATCTGTTAGATTCTTGTGGAGAGTTCCAACTTCCAAGATATGGCAAGTAATATACATGTAGTTCCAAAAAGAACTGGTTAAAGCAGCTTTAGAGAGACCAAGGATTAGTAACAGCAAGAAGAACAATAACTCAAAAACTCTGAGCTTGGTGCTTTGCTTTAATACCATATAAGTGATTTTTAGGGAATTATATTTTGTGAAATCTGCTAAAATTCTAATTGGTGGATTTTAATTTCGCGAATTCTACCAAGTGTGCTATGTGGGTACCGTATTAAATTGATTTTCACGGATTTTGTTTTTTGCGAATTAAGAGGGAATCCACAAAATTTGCAAAATTTACAACCCTCTAAAAACCCACTTATACGGTATTATGCCATTTTCAATTAGAATTGCATCTGTTTGCTTTGGTACATGTACATGTACGTAATTGCTGAGTATGGGAAAAATCGCAACAATAACTGAAATAAACAGCTACGAATATACTCTGGCTATGCATGTACATTTGTTATGTACATGTACATGCATGTACATGTACATCTAGTTCATTGATCAAAAGATATCTTACATATTTTGTTATACATGTATGTTATACATTTACCTTTATGCTTTTCTTTTCTCTTTGTAGAAAGGTCTCACTGTAATTTGGGATGCTTTTAATTCTCAAGAGGTACATTAACTGTGTGTTCATAATTAATTTGGTGTTGACTCATTCTGCTATTGTTTACTAGGAAATATTTATTGAGACTGATTTTGAATGTGTTTTTTCTTGTGCATATGCTCCATCAACTACTCTTGTTGCTTGCTGGTGATTTTTCTAATAAAAAATTGTTGTATTACATTTTTATAGTGGATTGAGCCGAAGATGTAGCATTTATGATGTAAATTGTGGAGTTAATTTTATAAAAGAACCAAAGAAAGAATTTTTACTGAACAGTAAATACATTACACATTGCGTATTTGTTGGATCAGACCAGCAGGTACATATTATTTTTGTAATATGATGGATTTTTGTGTTCTGATTCTCTGTCATGAAATTTGTCTATTTATTGCATGCACATGTACTATACATATGATGGATGGGTATAAATATTGGGTAATGGCTGACCTTTTGGTATCCTTTTTATTTAGAGAGGTTTGACAATGGCTAAGTTTAAGGGTATTAACTTTAGTTTTTTAATTTTGATGTGAAATAATAATTGGTGTGGGTGTAAATTAACAGTGAGGCATGTACTACATGTACATGTATGCTGTAAATAATATGCTTTAATTTGTGTATTTTATGTTTTGTTTTATGTCAGATATTGACTGCTGGTGCTAATACTAAAATTGCTCTATGGGATATGGAAAGGCCAGACCCTGTTTGTGAGTTTGTTGGACACAAGAGTGAAGTGATGGGGTAGGTACATGTATTCTTAAATTACATGTAGTTATGGCATTGTCTTTTTAGGGTATCATTAATGCAGCAGAATTCATGTTCAGTGTTTGCATCTTGTGTGAGTGTTTATGTATAAGCTACTACTGGTAGTATAATTATTTTTGTAGGGCAATGATCGCTGTGTGTGTATTTGGGACATTCGCTCAGGGAAATGCATTAGAAGAATTGATGATTATTCATCAGAACTTAATGCTGTTGAATTTTACTCCACTGGTGAAGCTGTTGCTACAGCAGCTACTGATGGCACTGTAAGCTGGTAATTTTAAAAATTTAATACGCATCAGTCATGATACACGTACTTGCTTAATAGAGTAATTTTCTGATTTTTACTATTGTTGCTTGCCTTGTTAGGAATTTCTTCAGTTTATCATTTGTCTGTTCACCTAGTCCATGTACATGTGTATTGCATGCTGTCAATTACTGTGTATTCCATAGTTCCTTAATGCCTACATGTATGTGCATTTAGTTTTGTTAATGGCAATAATTGTTAGTATGACATTTTACCCTTCCATTTTACCATTAATGTACATGTACATGTAGATACGTCTTTTTGACTTCAAAGCTGATCAAGAAATAATGTTATATGCTAAACCAACTATTCTTCTTGCTGCATCATCACTTGATTTCTCTAAGAGTGGTTAGTTATAAATTATTCTTATGCCCCTTATGTTATTACATATACATGTATGTTTCAGGAAGAATTTTGTTTGCTGGTTATGATGATAACACACTGCGTGCTTGGGATGTACTAAAGGTACGTAATTATTCAATCGGAACCCATTGTTAATCATTTATATGTGCACGAAAGGGAGAACAACTGTCTGTTTGGTATGATCATGAAGATAGGATAAGCAGTGTCAAAGTATCTCCTGATGGTACTGCAGTTGGTACTTGTAGTTGGGATTCTACAGTGCGAGTAAGATTCTATCATGATATTTGCTGTTAGTCTTATTTTAACTAGATATGGGCATAGATTACCAATGATTTTTAAATTTTCTGTGTCTATCCTTTCATTTTTAACTATCCATTACATTTTGTGCAATTGAATTTGAAAAATTTTTGTGGTTCCTTTTCAAAATAAAAATTATCATTTTTCTTGAAGTCAGTTTTACAATTATTTTTATCTTTATCATGAAAGTGCCACATCAACGTACCAGTAATTGCTTATTTTCCAGTCACAGTGGGTAGTTTGCCTTTCAACAAAATAGTCATTAATAAAAGGATTCGTAATTATTTCCTGAAATTAACTGCTATTCGTTATAAAGGCACGATTTGATGCTCATGTGTTATGTAAGTTGCCTTGACCCGCGAAATTAGTTTTTGCTTGATTAGCACAAAATCAAAATGTTGAAAGTTTTGGTTTATTGTTATGCTACCCTCCAAAAAACCCTGTATGAAACCCTAGTGAAACTAATGTTAGCATTTTAACTATGATAACATTCATTATACAAAGTCTATGGCATTGGCTATGATAAAAAATAGTGCCTCTAAATAGGTAGCAATAACTAATAGTGTTATTAAGAGTCTTCAAAGTCGTTATCTTCTTCAGTTTCATGGTGGTTGTTCCTTTCACCTGACAACTGGTTAGGGGCTGGAATAGTAAAAGTACCTTCAGCTAGCCTGTTTCTGAACGATTCAAGTAATTTCTTATTCAAGTGGTCAGTCAAAGTTCTATCTTCTGGATTCTCAACTCCTGAGGTTCCTTCTTCATCACTTGAGGCACTGAATCCATTCTCATGGCTGTGTTCTTGGCTTTGATCCGTCATTGTTTGTCTGAAGTGTAATGTCTTTGCTCAAATTTACGGAGAAAGATTACTGGATTCTAGTGTGGATTATCATTATCTATGTGATTAGATCTACAAAAGATTTCCTATGTCCTATGAGAATGTTTTATGGATCATATGAATTTTTATGAATTTTAGTTTTAATGGTGTTTGTAAGTTTTTAGATTGTCGTAATAATATCATTCATAATAGATATAGATCTACTAGACTAGATCTAATTTTGTACACAAGTAGACTATTGCAGCATTACATGTCACAACATGCCACGCCCTTCCACATGGCGGCATAAGGTTACTCTCTCTCTCCTTCTGTTGGATTTTCTCTCATTCATTGTTGTTCTGCTGGCTAATTCTGTACTTAGCCAGCCATTATACCTGGTTAGCTATTATAATATTTCAGTTTTTTCTTTTTTGCTCTGTGTAGAGAGCGGTTAGACAGCTTAGACTATTAAAACCATGCCACCCAAGAAGAGGAAAGGCTCCAGCAAGGCTAGTCGTGACACAGAAGTCCTGTGTTCTATTTGTGACGAGGTCATTGATGATAACTGTCAGGAGTCTATCTTCTGTGAGTGCCTATGTAACGCCTGGGTTCATAGGAAATGTGTGGGTTTATCTAAGGCGAGGTTTGATCTATTGGACAGTTCTAATAAACCATTCCACTGTCTTCACTGTCAGTTTGACTCAATCTCTTCCGAACTATCGTCCCTGATTAAAGCTGAACTGTCCACTCTCCAAGACAAGGTCGTGTCACTCAGTAATAAGTTGAGGGAGATAGTACCCAGCAGTGTCTCTCCAGGAGCCAATAACCCCACCACTTTGACAGCATCTCAGACTACTCCCTCACAATCCTCAGGGATTGCTGGTAGCAGGACTGTCTCTCGTGCTCCCCCTCGTAAGGAAAGGAAATTTACTGTTGTGTTTTCTGGTCTAGCTGAATG